AATATTGATTATTAAATGCGGTTTGATTACAAGAAAAGCTGAAGTAGACCATCAGATACCATAACCTTTACTCCTAAAAAGAAATAGTAAAAGCACTCTTTTCTGAACTGTAAAATATATAGCATGCACACGGACAAGAAAGCATTTTTTCCCTTCCCTTCCTTGCCTACTTAATACCAGATCAGAAAAGCAGCTGTACTGCTGCATACTGCTTTTGACACAACACACATAGGTTTTCCTGTAACTTTGCACAAATACACATCTCTGTCCCTGTGAGCTTAGAAAAACTGGAAAAAAGAAGAAACTGTACATCTCCTACCCTGTAATCATCAGAAAGTACCCTCACGGTAAGCAGGTATACTAAGACCAAAAGATACTGCAGCTATTGCTGTAGCCCTATCTCCCCCTGGAAGGCAGCTGTAAAAGGTTAAACATACATTTTTAATTCCGGGGGAGAAAGATACTCTGCAATTTTCCCACAATAACGGCTCAAGAAATATAGCTACATTCTTCTAAGATAGAAGCAAAACTGATAAGAGTCAAGTATGCATGATTATACCCTGAATAGTCACCTAATCTGAAGTGAGGAGCATCTCTTATTCAAACCTTATTATGCAACTACAATAATCCCCAGGTTCCCCACTCAGCCATTTAAGTGAAAATACCAGCAACAGCCCAACTAGAATTAAAGACAGCAAAAATAAAGAAAAGCACACATCTTTCTCTGATTCCTAGATCTCATCTTCCTCCTCTTCTTCCTAGTGATGGCAGACTGACAGATAGAAGGAAATATACATCCACCCCATAGTCTTTCATACAAGTAAATACAAAAAAATCAAGTGTTTATTGGAAATCTGCATGAAGGCACAGATGAGCTTGATTACAGACACATTGTAACAATTACAAATATATGTAAACACCTTCAGATATACAACAAAGCAGTAAAACAGCTAATACAGGAATAAAATGTAACCTGCTTGAAAAAAATTAACAAACAAAACAAAAACAACTTCTTTGTATCTAAGGTTCTTTCAATGGTAAGCTCCGATTCACACCAGCACAGTGTAATACTTCTGAAGTCATCACTTGGATTCATGCTCAATAAATCTGCATTTGACCACTGTTGTTAACCAGTGGATTTAAAATTTGGTCCAAATTTGAACAGGCTTCCTTCATAAGTATGACGAAAACAGGAATAACCAGCTAGACACTCAACCAACCTGTAATGAGACTTTGTAGATTCTCTAAAAACACAAGAGCAATCACCAAGGTACTGAAATTAAATGTAAGCTTCAGAAAAGCTCAAGGATGCTCATTCCATTTTTATTTGCATTTGAGGAAATTGTTGTATTTCTGCAGGAAAGGAACAGTCTACAGCTGTCAGGTGATTTTTTATTTTTTTTTCTTCCTCCACAGGAGGCTTAGATTTCATCTGAAACACCTGCCAAAACAAAAGTCAGCAATCACAAACTAAAGTGCCTTGGACAGCTTAGGTTTTACCACTAGAATAAGATACCCTCATTCACAGATATAGCAATAACTGATATCATGAGAAAACCTGCCTTTGCACATAGAAGACTACTTCCAATATTCCTGTGGAAAGGAGAATTGTCTTTTATTTTTTTCTCCAATGCAGGAACTTAAAGAACTGCATCACAGCTCTTTTTGAAAGGAAAACACACAAAAAACCAATTGAATTTTAGTGGAGGCAATTCCCAGGCCTAGCCAAAGAGTACTTTGAGAAGCAATTTACTACAGGTACACACAGTTTTCTCCAACTCAACCTTCAACCATCTGTCCTAACTCCCCACTCCTCTTCTACAAAAGCTTTATAACCTCTGGAGCCCAGTTCCAGTGAGAAAAGACTCCTATCCAGGTAATAAATGCAGAACAAAACCTAGCACAGCTACAACATTTCTGCTGACCCTGCAGCCACATCATCCCAACCTATGTATGAGGTAGTACTTTTCTTTGGAGCCTAACCAGTCAAATAGGAACAAGCATTTTCTCCCTAATGTAGCAGCTGTCAATGCAGTGCCAAGCCCCATAGTTTTATCTCCTCTTCAGAACACGCTACTAATGCAAAAACAGCAACAGCTGCTTGAAAAAAGAAACACAATATAAGCACACTTGTATTACAACTGCATCGTAAAGGCCACAGTCTGGCATATTCGGTGACTTTCTCTAGTCCACAAAGTGGCAATGACTCTTCACTTCTATTTGTATTGGGACTAGTGGTTATTACCCAAAAGGAACATGAAGGGTATCCTGAGTACTGATTACAGTGAGAGGTGGAATTTAAAAAAAAATTTAAATATTAAGAATTCTAGTCCAGATCCAAAAAGGGCTGGGAGAGGAATTCAGCTCCTCAGGGAACTGAGGAAACCAGATTGTCTTTATGCATACAGGCCATTTGGTAATGAGGGGCTCTACTTTCTCTCTCTTCAAGAGGACAGATCTTCCCCTTCAAGGAGGTTGTTGTTACATATGCATGTATTATAATTTTATAGCTTACACTCATAAACCTTCTGGTTTCTTATGAGGCGGCTTGAAATGGAGAAACATGCTCTGCATAGTCCATGCTCTGTAGACTCCCAAGGATCAAAAAGAAATAGACTGCCATGACTGAAACAAAAAGGAAACATCAGAAAGAGTTGAACAGTATTAGAACTCATGCTGCTTGTAAAACGAAGCATTAGGATCAGAAAAAGCACTACAAGACTTAACAAGGTCCCTGGATGTAAGCAATAATCTTAGTAAGCAATAATCAATGCTGAGGATGAATGACTGAAATTCTTTGACAAAGTATTTGAGGCTCTTTCATTTGTTTCCATGATCAGTTTCTATTTATTAACAAAACTTAGAGTCTATACTGTCTCCTGTCAGCAGTGCAACTTGCACAGATCACAGGAAGCTTTCTCATTGCTTCCAAGACTGCATTTTTCATTCACCTGAAGTGCACTAGGATTCCACCCAGGTGGGTGGATTCCTGAATGGGAACATTTTAACAGGAAAGAAATCCCGTTTTGTTCAGCTCCGTAACACTGATTGCCAATAGAAAAGCACTGACACTTTCTTGAAAAACTCTGACAGCCCTTTCTGCCCTTGGGAATACAATCTCAGAGGAGTAAATGTAATTAAAAAAACCTTCTCTGGCTGTTAGCTGGAAGAGTATCTCCAAACAGTCCCACCTCTTTTTCCAGAGAACTTCTCTGGAACAAACTGTGGATAAACTCTTAATGCTCTACAGAGTATCAGCTGCATTCCAGTGTCCAAGCCAGATCCCTTCAGAGAAAAAGTAAAAAGAAAGCTGCTTGATTGTCAGAGAGGATAGCACTGCTGAAACAGCTAGAAGATATATATATATATATATATATGGGAGTTTTTTTAACCTTTAGCTGTAAAAGGGTACACTCACAAAATGCTAATCACAGCTAAAAATTGCTTCTGTGGCCTTACACAACTAATGATGATGCAGCGTGCAACTGACAGGCATTAGTAATGAAAAAGATAACAAAACCCCACCCAAGGTGCTTCTGCGCTAAAGAAGCCAAGCACTTAAGCCTTCATAGTAAGGTGGACCTCACTGTCATGTGAGTTTCGCCAGTCTACAGAATATCGGATAAAATCACAGCTGCAGAATCATAACTCATGAATATAATTCACAAGGAAAACTGAAAATCCATTTACATTTATTAGGAGATGGTTGTGCACAATGTCTCATCTTATTCAAAAAGTCTACAAATAGAGTTTAACACTTCTGATTGCAAGCAAATGTTTGTTCAATGTTCTTAGGTAAGGCCAATTTAGTGCCTTGTTACACTTTTAAGATTTGATATACATTTGTCAGTTCTTTACTTTCCTCTGGTAACAGCCCCACTGGAGAGTTCACTAAGACACTTTATAACAGCAGCTGAACTTAGGTTACACAAATTCAGTTTTGGAATATGCTTCAAATGTGAATTATTCTAGGCAATTTTCCATTTTAAGATCTTAAAACAACACTGTCAAAGGCTTTCCTCCCTCCCCCCACACTCACACTACCACCGTCACTGAACTTGTGCTCTGTAGAATATGTCCAAGAATCTCAAAGCACTTCAGAAAGGAGGGCACCATTTCAAACAGTGGTATGCTTGAGCTCGAATCCTACTCATAAATGAATGTATTTTTTTATTCGTCTTATGTTTACAAAAGGACAAGCAGCAAACTAAATCAATCCTATCCTGGCCTTAGTCCCATCTCTGACTGCCTGTAATTTTCTCACATGTAATCCTACCACTGATTCAGGAGTTCTGTTTAATTACAATGCTCACAGCTGAGTTACCTCTCTGGAAAGGTGAGCATCTGCTAGTCAATTATTTTCAGATGGAAGCACTAGTCAAATTTTAAGTCTGTAACAATCTTGAGAATCACTTGATTGGAGAGTCACTATCATAACTAATGTGATTTGAATGCACTTGATCCCATATTGGTTTAAGAAGTGTAATAGACTTGATATCTCTCTCAACAATACATTTCTCTAAATTCTCTCAGAGCTGAAACTACATAGCTATCATGAAGAAATTCTAGTTTTGCCTTAAGCAGAACCTTTTACAACATTATTTTAACTTACTATTTCGATTTAGAGCACTAATTTTAATAAAGATTTTCAGTTTGCAATTCTTACTGAATAGGTGAGCGGCAAACATGGAAATATATGTACAAGTGTTAGTATACTACAGAATGCCGTACTTCCTTCTTAAAAATGTCCTTAATAAAGCATTAGGCATGTCAAACAAACTTTTGTAAACAAAAGATAAATTACTCATGTTCTGCTCTGATTATAGCCAGATACATATTCTCATAAAATAAACATTCTCTTGTCATTTTCCATGGCCCACATATCCATATATATATGAGGTAAACCACTTAAAATCATCAATAATGCATAAACCTCAGTACTCAACAGGAATCTCAGAAAAAATGTAACCGAGTAAGATGTCAATATCAAGAAGTGACACTTTGTTCCACTGCAAAGTGAAACCAATTTATTTGTGCTAAATGAACGGAAAGAATGTATTCAGAATACATTTCTTTTATACATTGTACCGGCTTAGGCTGCTAAAGAAGCATTCATTAGTGCCATGTTGTGCTACTTTCTTGTACTGTTTCTACCAAGCAATACAACATTTTGGCTGTTACGCCAATATATTCCTATATGCTCGTATCTTATTTTTTAACAGACTTTTGAACATTTAAAATACCTGTTCAAACTTTGCTTCAGGGGAATCACAATTAATGTATTTTAACAAGGAAAAAAATATCATCAGCAGTTCTTCTACAATCACATTGCCTTCTGCAGCAAAAAAAAAAAATAAATCAAAGAGCACACTTTAATTAGCTATCAGTAACCTGTGGGCAGGACCACACTTACCGAAGTTAATTGTGACAGATCACGCAGTATGGGCAGCTTACAGGTTAACGTAAATGTCAAGTGAAATCATCAAATCTTAAGGTTCACAAATTGTACATTCCACAGACTCCAACAAGCCAGTTCCCTCACTGTAAAATTCAGACTGTACCATACATTTGAGGTGCTTGTAACAAGTATGGATGTGTCCTGTGTGCTGAATTAAGCTTATTTACTACACAGTAGAGTATGTGTCTTCGGCACTGATTAGAGTGTCTGACTCACTTTTGCACTAGAAGCTGTTATGAAACGTAGTGCTGATTTTCCATAAGCTTGGTAAACACTGTCATGTTTCAGAATTTATCATAGAGCCCATCATGCCTTTAGTTTTCTGCAAATTGTCATGAAAAAATATAAAAAGGTATCCCTTTAATTTTACAAACCTAAAAGCCAGGAAAATGAAGCTTTGGAGCCAAGCAAAACGACATAATGCCGTATTACCAAACAGAGTAGCAAATGTTCCAGCCAGAGAATGGACATACATGTAGTTCAAGTAAACACTGATGGAAAACTTTGTTAAGTTAGTGTTGTAGACCCACAACACTGGCTGCATTTTATACAAACGTTTACAACACAATTAACAGTGAAGCCTATATAACCTCAGTGCAAATAAGTCAAATCCAAATATGCCAAGTAAGCCTTTGGCTTTTAGTAAACTGCTCCATGTTATGAGTCCACTTCTGACATACAGACTGCTGAGCACATGCACTAAGGCTGAGAGGAGGGATGCACTGAATGTTGAAAAGTAGCTGACTGCGATGCTGCAGATTGGACCGTAGGTTGCACAGGTGGTGGAGGTGGTGGCGGAGGTGGCTGCACTGGGGTCTGCGTGTTTGGAGAAGGAGGAGGAGTGGGACGTTTAAATTTGTCGGGGCTGTTACTTCTTCGTGGTGAAGGCCTCTGCAGAACAAATATTGAAATATGTTTAACACACTCCTGAACAACATTAGGTGCAAGTCCTCTAATCAATTTATTGAGCTCAGTAAATGAAAAAACAAAACAACAAAAAACAACGAACAAAAAAATCTGAGCAATTCTGTGGGAAGAATCCATTTCAAAACGTTGCAAGAATGACAATACAACTGTTACATAAAATAAATGCTACTCTGAAATGAAATAGCAAAAGAAAGGGGGAAGTACTTCTGACATCAAATGGAACACCCATTCCTTCCTGTCAGCTTGCAGGAAATGAACATAAGATATACATGTCCTGAAGATATGTTTACCTATGATGACCAGCCACCTAAAAAGAAATGAGAGATGAAGTAGAGACATCACCTCCCAGTTGTGCTTGCCCAACCAGTAGGTGCTGATGAACTCTTCTATGCTGCTGGCATATGAAGTACAACTATGTGACACCTGAGTGTGGGTGGAAGTGTTTCAAATGCCAGGGAGTCTGCCCAGAATCTCTAGCTTTCTGAAAGACTTTTAGCCTGCACACTGGAGCAAGACCAAAACATAATACAAGCTGTTCTTTGTAGAACAAAAAAGGATTACAACCCTTTGAGCTGCAGGAGTAAAGCAGTTATAGAGAACTCCCCTCAACAGAAACCACAGATTTTCAACAACCTGCACATTTAAACACAAACATTTAAAACCCACTTTATCTTTACAAACCAGTGGCAGGGGGAGGGGAATCTTCTTTAACGTTAGCAATGTAAAAATATAAACTACACTGCACAGCACTAACTTCTGTGCTTTTGAAACCAAAACACTCACTACTTACCTACAGGTAGCATTAATCAAGAACCTTATGGCATGAGAAACCACCCACCCACAATTAGTGATCAACCACAGATTATCAGCTCTGGGGAGAAGCATGATTACAGTGCTATACAAAATGTACTGCAAGTAAAGACAATTTATTCTGTAATGGAGATAAAAAAAATGAAAAGTCAAGAATCAAACTGCAGTTTTGTCAGATAATGTATATAACATCTATTTTTCTGTGCAACTATGCACAACACATTAATGCTCTGTGTGAAAAGCCAAGGGATTCTTGACAACTGACTGATGTCTCTGAAACATTTAAAATCATTTATTGCATTTGCATACATCTAATAATATGAAGAGATACAGTTTCAGTATTGAGACAAAGCCAAGATCTCCTTATCAAAACCTTACCCAAAACAGTTAATATTTTGTCCTGAAGATGATCTTTTTCATAGTGACTCAATGTGACACCAATTCATTTACAGTTTCAAAAGGAGTACTATTTCATAAAGACTGAACAGAACAAATTTTTTAAAAGACCTATTTATAAAATTATGTTCCATGTTTTCCAGAAGCATAAATATCTTCTTGTGACTAACTCACATGACACACAGCAGCGGGCTGAACCCAGACCAGGATTCTACCTTCCTATCCTGTTCTAACCATGATTGCAGAGTTTCCACCAATCTTTGCTCAATGAAATCAACAATTATATTTGCACATTCACCTAAGCAATTTTAGAAGAAGCCATATTTCAGCTTTCTACTAAAAATGCTATTGAAACATGTTTTCACATCTGAGAATGACAAGTATATGTAAAAACTTTGCAGGATATTTACATACTACCACATACCTGTTGAGAAAAATAAAATGGTCTCGATACAACTATGAGGTATTTTGCTAAATAGTTAATATTTAGGCTCTGTTTGCTCACTGAGCTCCACAAATATTTAGAATTAACATGATTAAGCAGAAATGCATCAAACATCACAGGTAAAAAGAAATCATTCCAGTTGAAAGGAGAAATTGCCCTAACAAATGCTTATATTAACTTTCTTCTTTGCCAATGAGAATAGAAAATAAGAGTTAACTGCCTGTTACAGTGACATGATGGTAGCATTGTGTGTCATCCTGAAGAAAACCTGAGCTTGAAGCAACCTCAGATGACTCATCCGTCAGATGGTGGAGACTAGGAGAAAAATGAAAGCAATGTTTTTACTTCCTGGGATAGGCTTAGTAGTTTAGAACATCACTTCTCACACCCTGCCTGCTGAGCCATAAGATGATACCTATTTACTGTCCTTAAGATGATAATACATCCTATTCTTTTGCAGAAAATTAGGTTCTCCAAAAAGAATCAGTTTCTGAGGGGTGAAGAGGAAAATCAGGATTGAAGAAAGCAGCAATAGATATCTTGGAGTAAGGAGACAAAAACAAACATTTACAAAAATGTTTTGTAAAAAAGCTTAAGGACAAGCAATTATAACTTTTAGAAAACAAACTGACAAGTATTTACTATTTTAAATACTTACTGTAATACCATGGGATGGTCCCATATGTTGTACATGGAGGCCTGGGGAATTGTAGTAAGACATTCCAGCTCTAGTCAGTGAAGTTGGTGGTGTGAAACCAACTGTGTGACTTGCATATGACAGACCTAAAAATTGTTAAAACAAGGTAACATCAACATTCTTGTTTATATTACAAACCAAAGTGTGAAGGTTTTTAAAATGTTTTTGTTCTGAATAAATGATAGGTTAAGAAACGGTAACTGCCACCAGATTAGACATCTAACAACATTCATTGAACTGAAAAATGTAATGTAGAATTAATTTCTTCTCCTGTAGTAAACTATGATACGTTACAAAACATACATTACACAACGTTAAACCCAATTTTTCACTTAACATAAACGACAAAAGGCTCCCTTGGTAGCTTGGTTTTAGTCTACAAGCATTTCCATCCAGCCTTCTCCTCAGAGGAAATGGCTCCCTGAACAGATACAGTCTGAAGAAGTAGAGAGGTAGTGTCTGGAGAAGCCATCTAGCACTGGGGTGCTACAAGTTTCCACAGAAAAACTGGATGTAGGTGGCTCCTCCAAGGCATACCAGATCCACACCCAAGCTTCCTCCTGTTTTGCCTCAGTTTTTATAGGCAAGGACCCAAAGATCTTTGGGGCTGTGAAGTTAAAGCATTCTGGGATTAGCTGCTAGCTGGACTAGGCTAGCAACTAACATTCAAAATTACAATTCCTTTTATCTACACTAAGGAAAGCCTAGTATTCACAAGTGCAAATATCTAATTCTTCCACCTGTTTCCTTTCTCTAAGAATGAATTTATAATAATGCAGGTAAACAGAAACAGCAACCACTAAGTGTTCAAAGTTCAGACCTTGAAGTGTACTGAACATTTTGTGAAAAAAAAGCACATTTTCAAAACCTCTAGCTCAGTATTGCTTTCTGATAAAAATATCAGTAAGGTAGAAGACAAGACTTTTCTCAGCTGTTCAGTATTAGACACTAGCAACTGCTTTGGAGAATTACGACCAATAAAAATGTGTAAATGTGTATTAAACTTCTTTTGCAGCACACTGGATTTAGCAGTTTTCACACTTAAAAACTAAATCAATGCAAAACAGTGCCACTGCAGCTACAGTATGCACCAACACCCAGCTTTGTCCTTACCTACATGTATCTGTGTTTCTGCCTACAACTGATGAGACAAGATCTCGGAGGATGGGGGGAAAACCAAGCCTCAGATCACTAATAAAGTCATCTAAGAAAACAAACTTCCCTTGCTTCCTTCAATTCAAAGTGTGATTCTGCTACATCTACAGTGCATATCAGGTGCAAATTACAAGTGACTCCAATATAATCACTGTCCCTTAGAGCAGTTAAACAATGCAGATTAACAAAATTAATCTGCTTTTTGACTACACAATCTAATTGTATGCACAGCACGTTTTATTAATAGGTGTTTTTGCAAATGCAAGGACAGAAACAAGGTAATGTTCAGATAGATGACAATCTGTTGCAAGTCACAGACAAGAGCCCAAAGCAGTAAAAGGCATAAAATACACTTTAAGTCGCCTTTGCAACACCACGATTTTAGACTGCTTTGGGATAAACCAGCTCCAAAAATTTTACAAATGCAAGCCTATATAGCAGTCAAGCAATAACTGAGTACTGCATGTACATCCAAGGTAGCTTATCTCTGCAGTCCAAAATCTCTATCTAGCCTAGCTGAAGAAGCAAAGCATAAACAGTTTATCTACACTAAAGACTAACTGGTAGTTAGAGTAACTAATTGCCAGCTGCCTAGAGTAGAAATACTTCCACAGTCTTCGAAGTTCCATGAACTATGCTAGAAATCTCAGCAGGATCTCAGCTTGAAAGAGTCCTCAAAAGCAGCATCTCAAGCCACGCAAGCACAAAGGACTCTGGGGTTCAGGAGCCAGAATCTGGCCCATTAAACCTGACCAGCTATCCATATGAAATGACAGCATTTCTAACTGGTTTCAAATTATGTTTCTACAAATTCAGGCACTTCAGTTCCCAAAATACATCTGACAAGTCATATGATTACTAGATACAAAAATACAACTGCTGTATTATTCTGTGCTGATACTTTTGACAGTGTCTTACTGTACTACTTCATGTATCAAGTAGTCTCAAACTCTATGTTTTCATCCTTTACTGCATTCATGTATCCCAGGCAGCTGTACGAAATCCCCCATTGATCTCATTAGTTCTCTAAAAAAACTACTGCTTCTATTTTTCTGAAGTCTGAAACTTCCCAACTGTGGATATCAATTTATCAGGTGTGAATAGTAACGTAGCTGCCTGTGCAGAAGTGCTAGCCAGGAACCTTTACTGTACCAACATCACCAAAATTGTGAACTCTGTTAGAAACTATCATTTCAGCTGTGTTATTTTTAACTCTGCTTCAGACTGTGTTTCAGCTTTGCGTTTGACGTTTTCTCCCTTGTCTGTGGGATGTAATTCCCGCTAGAACACAGTTAACAGTTCTATCAACTATTGATGGGAAGTCAAGTCCGCAGGCAACAAGGAATGTGCCTCAGTCCCAGTGTAGGAACAAACCAACAGAGTAATCCTGCACTGACATATCATCATCTAAACTGGGTCCATTTCTAGGTAATCTAGCATGCAAGCCTATAAATGACCAGATAGTATTTCCTACACATCGCTTTAATTATAACCGCTGTGTGGACTGCAGATACAATGTGCAGTTGAATACTGTATTATTATGAAGGCTGCACACGTATAACCATCAGCGCCCACAGCAGTTACTCCAGAACAGTGGTTAGCACCACCACATTTCTGTACGTGCAGTTACAGCAAAAAGAAAATTTATCATTTTCTTTGCAACATACCTTACAGAACATCAAAATAATGCTCATCTCTAACAATGTAACATGGTTTATGGCCATAGCTAGTTTTTACACATGCTTACTCCACATCCAACACCTGGATGAAAACTATTTTGAGTCCTTCTGAAAAACTAAAGTCAATCTTGAAAATTACAGTTTAAATACATTTTATATGTTCTAGCAGACCTGCGCAATAAAACATCTCAATCCCACCTTGCAAAATGTGTCAATACAGAGCACATCTCATTTGCTCTTACTGCAGGACTTTGTCCAACAGGTTCTAAAGGTGAACCTTGGAAAGCAGGACATGTGGAATTCAATTCATTATGTACAAGTGAGTTTGTGATAGCCGTACAACATCCATGGCCAACAACTTCTAATGAATGTCCAAAAGCAATTTTAAGGGATTTTAGATTTCAGTCAGTAAATGTGTTAGTAACAAAAATACATTTCCTTTGAGTTTAAAAAAATAATAATATATTAACTAATTAAAAACTCAGAAAAGGTTAGCTTGCCTTTGTTATACAAAGTACTAGAGACAGGAATTCTTAATTTTATAGTTACTGTTTTACAACAGAAAATGGAAGTAAAAAAAACATTTCTCTACTAAAGGGAAATGGAAATTTACTTTCTTTCCAAACACATTTAAGATTGGACTTCTATAAGAAGTTTTGATTCAGAGCACAATAGCATCCTTACTACTAGTTCATCGCCAAACTCTAGAAATCTGTTTGAACTATGCAACCTGTTGGGCAACTTGGGGAGGGAAGGAAGAGGAAGAAAGAAAGAAGAAAGTAGGAGAGAAAAAGAAAAGAAATAAAACTCCAAGTGACAGCTACTTAACTGACCTTTAATATCTGTTCATAGTGCAAAACAGATGAAAACATGCTGCACTGGAAGACATCTAAGGCAAAACTATTCTTACATTTATGATTATTTTTTTCCCCCAGACCAGTTTTGAAAGGCCTAAATATATTAATAGGGCACATTACTATGTGATGCATACAATAATTTTAGAAACTGGGTTAAATATTTACCAGGTGATATAGGTCTGCTAGAACTTGGTGAGGGTGTATAAGGGATAGGACTGGACACAGTGCGAGGTCTTAATCCTTGTGCAGACATCTCATTAAAATATCTAACAAAAAAAGGTAAAGAATGATTAGATCAAACCTTTTAAAATGTGCCATGATTTAAATGTTTCACTTTTTTTTTTTCAATTCCCATAAAAATCACATTAGATTAATGAAGGACCAGTCACCTGTAGGAAGTCATGACAGGAACTCTCATCATTGTTGAAGGCTCAGATACTAGCTTAAATTCCAATGGAAAAAGCTGGGCTTATCTTAATCATTTGCAGTTAAAATTGTACAAGTTGTGTATGATTACAATAGTACATATTCAGGCCAGAGGTATAAATCATGTCATCCGATCTGACTTAAACTATATTCTTGCACTTTACACATAATTTCTACATTGAACTATTCAATAGCTTGTCTGGCTGGAGAGTATCTTCCAAGAACGGCATTCAGCACTAATCTGAAATCATTAAAAGGGGGACAAAAAAATAATTAAAGTATTGATAATTTGTTCCAACAGCTTATCAGCCTCACACTTAAAAACATAGTCTGTTCCCTACTTTAATACCTCTGGTGTATACGTTTAGCCATTTGCTCATCATGCTCATCTCACCACTGGAAGAGACACATTTTGAATCCTGGACTTTCTCCCACCAAAGACACTTCTAGGTTGCGTTGCAAGACACCTCCCACACTTCACTGTGATAAACTGAACAGACCAGAACCTCAGGCAAGGCATTTTTCCCCACCTGTAATAATTCCAGTGGTATTTATTTGAACTTTACTCACTGAATACAGTGAAACTTCACAGCCATCAAGTGCTTTCCAAAAGAAGATAAAAATCACACCCATTGCTCCTAGTTGCCACTTACAGTTTTTATCTCAGAAGTAATTTTATGTATTTTTTTCCACAGCACTAGACTAGCAGCTTTGACGTTGACTTGCTTATGCAAGACTCTCCACCTAGATTTTTCAGTCACTGTCTAGATTAGAGGCTCCCCTGCTCACTGTCTCCTGCACATATGGTTGCAAATCAGTGCACCTGGATTTATATTATTACATTTAACTGTGTTTTCTCTACTGTACTCAGTAAAGCAGAAGGCAAAATTAGCTATCTAACAGCCCTCTGACTCTTGTCTTCCCTTCTACCACTATCTTCTCAGAAATTCTTAGTAGCTACATTTATTTCCTGATCACAGAAAAAAAACCCACAACACGAAGCAGCATTAAAAATATTCCTATTCAGTGGAACTCACAATGATGACTATTTCAAGGTCTGTGAGCCATTTCATAAACTATTTGAAATGTATTTTGATACTGCATCTTATTTTTCAAACCATGATATTCAGAGTTACTAAGCCACACCACTTAACACAGGCAGTGATACCAAAGTTGGTTGAAATTTGGGTGGATCAGGCAACACAAGAGGCTGTAATAGAGAACAGTGCAAAAATTATCAAACTGGCAAATTAAAGTTTAATAAAATGTAAGTTTTCTGAAGAGCTGCTGGTGGAAAGGTTAGCAAAATTGAACTGAATAAGCCACCTCTGCAACCCAGAATAACTTGTAATGCAGACAGTACATGTATTAAAGCAAGGCAGGGGTCTTTGTCATTTAATCATATTTTATTCTACACAAAGACAATTTTCTGTAAGTCATCCTAGTACCTGGATCAGGTGATATGGAAACAGCATATCCATTTGTATGCTTGCTGTTTTCAGATATTTCCGTACTACTCTAGAGAACAGGATGGAGGATTGAGAAGACAAAGCTATTGCTAGTCAGAAGGAAGAAGTTTGGGGAGAGCTGTGTCTTTTGCATTCAGTGGAACATCTAATCTACCCCCATCTACAAAAAATAAGTATCATCAGCTAACAGAATGCAACTGAAAAAATGGATATCTGAATCATCACCACCATAATTTTTAGAAATACAATGTAAAATTTACATTTTAAAATAATTACTACACATAGTTGCACGGTTATTTTGTCTACACAGCTATCCTAAGACTAACCACTCTAATACCTGCTTTATCCTTCCCTTTGCTCTGTATTATTTACACTGTGAATGCCTGTTTTGGAGTGACTCTGTCATGCTTTTCTAGGACCAAGAAAACCAACACAACAATGGAACTTCTTAGAAGTACAGAATAGTTAATCAATTTTTTCTGCATTTTTTTTAATTACCACTACCTACAACTAATAGACAAAAAAACCCAACCAAACAAAAAAAGGATACCCTGCATTTTTTGATTAATAATGGTAATTCACATAGATTTAGATTTTGACTGTATTTATATCACAATGTAAATACTGGAAGAAAAGATTAGGCTAATAAAAGTAGATTCAAACACAAGAATCCTGTGTTTCTATCAATTTATATAGCATCCACTACATCTTAATACCAGATGCTACTGCAATATGTGTCAGTTGCCTAGTATTTCATTAAAATGAAAACACTACCTTGAACTTTCAGTGTGCTCCTTGAAACAAAGTATCTGGTACAAACATTGTTTCTGGTAGATTATGGCTTATATCAAATATATTGATGACTCAAGAAGAAACAGCTCAGTGTCAGAAGAATATGCAGCACGGGTAACTCTTAAACTTTCTTTTTAAGAGACCACTATAAATCCAAAATAATGCAAAACAGTACAGCAAAAAAAAATTGAGCATTTAATAAGAAATATGAATGCTTTATTCAAAGTGTACTTAAAAACCTCTTTCAAGTTACAACACTCTCCTGTGACTACAATGTGAGAAAACACTAAAAGACATCACCAAGAAAAACTCAAGACTATCTGTAAGGTCAGCGCAAGCAATGCAGCTTGCAGTAGAGGAAATAAATAAATTTAAAAAAACCCCAAAACATCAAGGACATTATGGTTTGGAAATTAAAACCCTTCTGCAAAGGACTAGTTAGCCCTAAGTAAGGATTGTTTGGCTAGCTCACAGAATTCCTTCCACTTACCAAGTCAGGGGCAAAACAAAGGTATTACAGTTGGATTATCCCGAATCTCAACTACACAGCTATGTTTATTTCAATATGAATTATCAAAATCCTAAGCAATCCTCAGATACACATATTTTCTTTCTCATTATTAGAACTAATGCAATTTCTATACAAGTGTGATACAATTCTACTGAAAAAAATCCTGAGCCATGCTGAAATCCGGTGTGTAGATGAAATCCACATACAGGTTATTTCTATACATACTTATTCTATAATATTCAAAAAGAAGAACAAGTATTGATTAAGAAGCTGAACACCAACATATCTGGATCACTAGAAAATACAAACCTTTCATCGTCCATTTCTAAGCTGGATTCACTTTCTGATAGTTGCCTGCAGAGTGCTTCCCTACGTTCCATTTCCCTCTGTAATTTTCTTTGAAGCCTCAAGTTTTCTTCTCTCATATGCCGCTCCTCTTCTAAATATTGTGCCATCTTCTCTGAATCTGAAATTCCAAATTTTGTTAAAATTTGACTGAAATTCAATTTCACAGCGAGGCAAATACATTGTGCTTAATTTTACTCCAGTACTTCAAGAATGAGGGTGTAAAAATGCTCAGGATGTATCACTCAAAATTCTAATCTCTAAATCAGTAGTTCAACGCTCAATTCCAAACAGTAGCTACTAAAATAAATTAGTGGTTGACACCAATTTTGGAAATAAAAGGTAAAAAGCAAAAAAAGTTTTAAGTATTCAACTAAATGAATTTGAAAAAAGAAAAAAAAAAACAGGAAAAAAGTCATGAAGAAAATAATAAAACCAAAATCACAAAGAAGGAAGACAATGATTTATGCTCCATTAAAATAATGTGATCCCATGTTTATAAAGATTTTACTGCAACACATTGAAGAAATTATTTTAAATATATATTTCCATTTCAAAGGAGGAAGCAGAAAACAAGTTCTGAAACCCAAACCACTCAAATTTGCATTTAATTGCTACCATATATGAACTGTATGATCAGCAAATATCACTTAAACAGTTTTCAATCAGAAGAATATTTGTTTTAGAATATTGTTCCCAAACTACCAACAATACATGATTTCTCTCTCTTCTGTGGAAATATCACTTCTAAATATAACAGCATCACTTATTTAAAACTATTCCTTACCAAAAGAGTTCCTAGACTAAAAGCGTTTCAGGAAGATAAAATGTAATACCAATATCAGAATTTAGTAAGCAGATTTTATTAAGTACTTATGAGTAATACTAGAGGTTCTCTAATGAACATAAAATTGCAAACACCAAACTGAAAACGTATTTCAAGTTTCACCTGCTTGCAGGCTAGCACATCCACCATTTCTACCAGTATTGCTATTCATATTGAAGCTTGGTTTAATCTGTTCACAAAGAGAAAGTACTTTTAAACCTAGATATTACTTTCAATGAGAATTTGAATTTAAATGCTTCTAAATTTTTACTCTAAAACACAGAAATTCAAAGAGAAATCACTTAACAAAGAATACTTTAAATGAAATTAACTATGCTAGATTTGTACAAAGAGCACTTTGAACCTAAGGCCTTGCTCTCCTCCTGAAGTTCAGTCAGTAAAGGCTGCAGTGCAGAATTGGCAAGTACGAAGACTAGCAGCCCTTATCTTCTTTTAACTGACACAAATTATTAATACCACAAACTTCTGCACAAGGCCTCTGCAAAATCCCATCATCTGTCTTTAAGGAAGGTCACTGCCTCTGGCAAGCTATTTCTCTTAACAGCAGTAGAAATATTCCAGTTAGCCTGTCAAGACCAGCACACTACAGGGGAAAAACACTGCTCATTCCCCACAAACTCTTCTTTTGTGGTTAGGTGTCTACTTACTTATTAATTGAAATATAATGCCATTGACTCAGAACTAGGCACTAGATGATAAGAACTGATGAAACCTGGATAGAAATTTTAGAAAAAAGATAAAAACATTTCTTCTGGCCCAAGATATTAAAGAAAATATTGTTGACTCTTCCAGACACCTTTTTAGTAAAGCTAAAACCCCCCAAACTGCATATAAATACATCAAGAAGCAATAATAGTGGAATTATGAAAATATTTTAATCCCAATCTGCCCTATTTTTTCCCATTTCTACCTTAAATTCAAACTCATTAAAGTACATATAAAAAAATCTTACATTACACAAACCTAAAAAGATTTAAACCAAGTTGTTTACTCACGCTGTAACTGCGCAGCCCTCAGTTGTTTCTTCAACCTCTCCACTTCATTCTTTAAAAATCTGATATGTCTCATCATATTTTCTGGAGAATCTATCTCCATTGATATGTCCCTGGGTGATGGTGGAGCAGATACTGGCTGGTCTAATTTCTCCTGCAAAATTCTGTATGAAAAATAGTTCAAACTTCACCTTCAGTTCTACTGAAAAGAAACCCTCTTAAATCCCCCAGAAAGCCACTGTGCAAGGATTCTGACAGGTATATAAGAGTAATTTTAACTACTGGCTTTGAGGAGAGAATTTTGGGAGGATTTATAAAGTTTTCTTTTTTAACTCAAAAATAAAAAAAAGGTAAAATTTGTTGTCTACGCACAGACGGATTTTCTGAAATACTCAGACATGACACTTCCAAATATTTCTGCATACAGTTCAGGAAAAACAAATTCTGGACTATATATGGTTATCTCAGTTCTATACTCAAACACTACTTAAATAATTTCTAATCAAATTAATTTAATCTCTTACGAATTTTTAGATTTATGTTCTTAGAAGAACACATATCAAAGATCAGTAAAGTATGTCTAGGGCGAAACACAGGCTTTTCTGTGTTTCACCACCACCAAAAAAGGAATCATCACTATTTTCTGAAGCATAGTTAGACAGTCTCTTTTATTTTTTTTTTTTTTTTTTTTTTAAACCTCCAAACTCAAAGGAATCCTATATAGTCAAGGTTTCAAATATCTAAAAGCTGAAATAACTGATTGTAAATTCAGGAGTAGCGAAATTCTCTTGTAATGAAATAAGTACATAGTAGATATTCAATGTTCTAAATGATTACTTTTGGAGTTAACACACGAAGAATTTTTCAGCCTGAAAGCACGAAACTGTTCTTCACTAGAAACATGCTGATTGGCCATGATGATGATGACTCTGCCCTGAAGAGCATGTGCTCACTATGCAAGCACAACATGGCCTAGTACTCACTTGAACAATACAAAATGGTATTAAAGCATGGTCTGACTCCTCCATAGCTCCTTGTAAGAAGGCACGCATTTTGAGGTAAATTAAACCAGAAATGGTTTGGCTTAAAAAAGGCTTTAAATCTAAGATGTACAAAAATCCTGCCAAAGGCCCATCCTACTATGGATTTACCACTGTTGAATATCACATGTAGCTCTTCAGAGCACATTCCACAGTAAAATAGAACTGCAAAACCTGCAGTTCACTCAGGCTCAGGTATTTTCTGAGGGCCCAGTCAAGATTCAGACCGTCACGCTAACGAAACTGTCCTTACACATGTAGAAGAAAATAAGGTATGGATCATCTCCTCTCCTCCTAAAAACAGGAGTTCTTATGGCATTTAAGAAAGCACACTGCAACAAGACAAACCGTTTTTCTGCTTCAAGCTTATCCATCCTTTTCCAGAGACGATTCACTAGTGCTTCTTGTTCTTGTTCCAAAGTATTTTCAAGGTCGATCTTCTCACGTCTTAACTGGAGATGAAAAACAATCAATTTTTTGCAAGGAACTGCTATTAGTAAAGATCATTGTTATAACACCATTTTACATGATGCTCTAAGACAGCAAGGAGAAGGCAGAGACAAAAATCAGGCTGGCCACAGAGCCAGTGAAAAAAAAACAAACCAACCCAACACACTGGTCACAGAGCAAGTGAAAAATCAAGAGATTCAGGAGTTGCACAGTTGTCATCTTCGCAACAGAAATCTTTCTCACAGAACTTGTTGCCTCTGGCCAGCATGGGGGAGCTTGAAATCTGGACACACTGATGACATGACAAGCCTATTCAAACACATCTATTCCACATGTCCCCAGACTTTAAAATGAATTTACTATCCACTACACCAACATTTATTCTTTTGAAAAACTTCAACTTCTTCCACATCCTTTTAGTGGAAGAATCACAGTTCAGTAAGCCACAAATTGAAGAGAAGCCATGTTTACCTTGTATTAGGCAAAGTGACATAACAAAAAAAGTAAAGAAAAAAAATTCAAACTGCCTTAAGTGTTACTGTAGCAGCCCTTTCTAGCAGAAACAAATGTATTTCTATCTAGGCAAAGGCTTTATAAAAGTAAATGCTTAACTTGAGATTATTCTCATTCATTTACTGTGTGTACAAACATTCCTGATTCTACTGTAAATTAATAAAAGCAGATATACTGTAGAACTACACATGAAGAAATCTATTATTAATATTTAGGACAGAGACAGTGGAAATATTAATAAGAATACACTAGAATACTGTAAGAAGCACAGATGATTTTATTCAGCAACACTGGCAGCTGAACTCTAGAAGTTAGCAAGACTGAAACATGTGGGAATAGATGAACACCTTTACAGGTTGAAAACAGCATGGAGGCATTTTTCCCAGTAAAGCCTTAATTAACACCACTTTCCTGAAGGGCAAATAATGCTACATTACAAAATGGAAAGACTGAAAACAGACTAAGCAATTTCCTCGCACATTTACTGCATCACTGGGTGAGGTGCTATTACAGCACCGAAATCTATAAGGGCTCTGTCCTAATCACTGATTTAGTAATGAGATACCCAAACAAAATTTAAACTTATGCACTCCATGTAGCAGTGTAAGTTAATTGATATACAACTTTCATCTTTCAAGCTCAGAGGAATTACCGTAAGTAAAAATAGATATATGCTCATAAGTAACAGGGAACATAATTAGAAAAAGAAACATTGTTTAGCAAATCTTTCCATGTCTGAGTTTCCAGTCGTATATTAGCAGTTGAGGGAACTTACAATTCAATAAAAGAGATGTCAGAAGTGACGTGCTTCAGCCTCACGCTAGGGATCAGAATTTGGATCATGACCTACACTTTGGTCCCCATACCAGAAGGAACTGGAGTGGTATGAAGGCAAAGGGCTCAGCTCTGGGAGATAAAGGGCACTTTGCCTTAGGGCACTGCTCATGAGCCAATTTGGCCAACACCTGGGGCTGACAGCATTCAAAGGAAAGAGAGTACATAAAACATCTGGGAATCTGCACACAGTGCTTCTACATCACCAACATGTAGATCTTCACTACATTGCTTAGCTACCTATACAAACACGTGATGAAAAAGGTTTGACTGTGGATCACTACTTTTGCAGCAATGGTTTTTGCATCACTTCAGAGCAGCACAGTTTAGACTCACCTGCTCTGACACAGTCTTTTTACAACTATGCTATTGATCTAGCACCGAACAAATGCACAAAAACATGCTGGTGAAAATAAAAATACTTTGTTTAATGGTAGGAAGAAGAGCAAAAAGGAATTTGAAAACAGAGTGATTTATAACCTTGAAACATTTGAAAAATCTACAATTACATTTAGCATTATAACAGCCATCACCAAGGCAGTGGAGTCTATTAATTAGAAATCTGCACGTAGGTGATCATCCACAATGGCAAAGCCAAATTGTCAGCAGCAATACACAGATGAGCCTTGTGTAGTGCCCTGAAGGCTGACAGACATGCTCTGATGAAAACACCAAGTGAACTGGGTTGTGAAACAGAGATCAAAAATTTCACATTTCCAGCAGTATGAAAACACACTGGAAACACGTATATGCCTTCCCTGATCTTGAGCGTTGTCCCAACTCCTCCCAGTGCCAGGACATTAAAGCTTTGAGGATGAACACCTTGTACTGAACCTACAGGAAAAGCAACTGCAGCATCCTGACCAGAGCTATGAAATGAAAGAACAGGTATACTTTGTACTAGATACTTTCAGGTGTACTTTGGAAATGTAGTCTAACACTAATCAATGAACTTGTTAGTAACATGATATAGTATGATGGGATTATATCTCAAAATCAAACCAGCTCTGTAAATACTAGCATCATTCTACATGAGTTCAAAGTTACATTCCAATAAACCATCTTTTTATTTTTACCATCAGAACAAGTAAACAAGGAAGTATTTGTTGCCTTTTTTTTTTTAACCTTTGTCTTCCCTTCAGAGGAAGGGAAAAATCCTATTTAACCTTCCTCACCACCCAATCATGTTCCTTGTCCTCTCTCTTTTTCACACATATACTTACTTTACTTCAAATGCAGCTAAAATATCCATCGTCTGTGTATTCCTAGATTACTCTTTTTCAGTCTTCTTACCAACTTACCAACTTACCAACAAGCACAACTGTTCCCTCCTGAAATGGAGATCTTCCAAATCAGTGAAAGTTAAATAGGATCTCTGCCTAAGCCCACTATCCCAAATTTCATTTCTCTGCTGCTCATCTGCCCCTCCCCCTTTGTAGCTATAATTCTTTGCTGCTCTCCAAGATTATCTCTCCAGGAGATTTTACATTTCATGTTCTCCTTTCAAAGAAGCAGACACAGAAGATGATGATGGGCAATTTAGTTATTATTTCTCATCTCCTAACTGCATAAATTCTAGTTTCTCACTGCAATGTATGAAATAGAAAAGCAATTAAAAAGTAACAGCAAGACTACACAAACTTGGCCTCTGTAGGACAAAACTGACAGCTACTCATTTTCTATCAAACTACTGAATATCATTGCTCATTTTAACCGAGACATTCAATTAATTAAAATAGTTGTGTCATAAATTTCCTCACCATTAGCCTTCAGAGAAGAAAGTTCTGCCACTTCAAGCTGACTTAAGAAAATTAAGTCAGATCACATTTGACCCCTAAGATAATGTGAGTTAGTAATGACACTCTATGCAACCATCACAGCTACAAACTGGCTACCTACTCATCACCTGTGGCATGAGCAGCTCTGATGAGAAAAAGCAAACAGGAAGGACACAAAGCACAGATGATTTCTGTTCCATATTTTAAAAATAGTTTAGTGAACATATGTTATAACTATCTGCCCACTGATTACAGTAATAGACCTAGTAATGCTGCCCTTGATTATGTTCAAAGCATTGTTGAAATACTCCTTCCAAGCCTTTTTTAAACGTATGTCCAAAAGGTTACGTTGAAGGATCGTGGAAATCTATCTTACTTAATTCCTTATGTGTACAATTAAGGCAACATTGCTTTGCTCACAGCATTTGGGTGTTTCTTGCTAGGTATGGCACATGCCCCAAAGGCTGTTGCTTCAGCTGGTTAATGAGCTGTTGTGGTTTAGGTCCAGACAGTAACTCAGAACAATAAGCTTTTTTTAATTTATGTAAGAGAAGAAATCATGCTCAAGAACAGAGTAATCTGAGATATACTATACCTTACTGTAAGAGAAAGCAACGGTATATACTACATTCCATATAAATGCACATGGAATTTCTAAGTAAGACTGACAGACAAATTTAACATTTTCATAAACAAAGTTAAGTTTTCAAGGTCAGATACTTGAAAGGCCTTTGAATACCCCTGCTTTTTGAACAATCTATCATTGATATTCAAATGTAGCAACAAGTTTCAAATTTTATGATTTCCCCAAGTCTGTCTACCCAGAACAATGATACAAAAATAACTACCATTAAGATTTTAGCTCTCGCTCATGCCAACATTCCAAAGAATAAACAAGCTTAATATGTAAGCTTAACTTTGCATTTTGATTAAGTAGTCGCCACCACCACCTTGTGGCTAAGAGAGTTATTTCAATTTCATGTTAATTTCCATACTAGTTAAAGATTTGCTGGCAACTACATCATCTTACCGTTCTGGTTTTTTAATTTGTTCTGTAGATCTCTACATACAGAATGTTAGCATAAGAGTCAAGAAAACCCATTTTAACATAAAGATAATAATTAATTAATTTATCCACAATGTCAACAGAAATACAAGGGTCATACAAAACTGGTAGTAATTCAAATTACCAGCAACATGAAAGTTCCACATCTGATGAGAACAGCAAAAAAAATTAAAATAAATAAATAAATAAATAAACAGAAATACTGTACGAGATTTATACCACCCAAATTACTGAACCTCCACAAGCCAAAAAAAAAAAAAAAAAAAAAATGAAGTTCTTTAACAAGCCTGTATATTTCATCAGCTTACTTTCAGTTAAAAGGACTCCTACTAATGCCACTGAGATGTTTTGATGCACATGCCTAAAATTAACCATAAAGAGCAGTTCCAATGTCTAAACTTGCAGCAGAAACATGACCAAAAACAGTGGTATTTTCATAATTTTCACAACTGTCTTGGGAGAAAACGAGTTGGATATAGTCAATTCTCAAAACTTTTTAAGTATACTCACAGCTGACATCCCACAGTTCAAGTCCTATGCGATCCAAGTGGCCACAAAAAGGTGTCCTAGATCACAACTAGACCACATGCATTTTATCTACTGTTAAGCTTAACCTCCTTAGAAGTGACAGTCTTTCCCATTAGCAGTGTGAGAGTGGAAGCTGATGAATGGCAACAAGAAGCATGACTTTTATAATTCGGAAGATAAGGAGTTACCTGCTCCAGGGTGAGCTGCTTTGAAATTGTATCATTTTCCAGTTTTTTGATCTTCTTCATCAGTTTGTTCACTTGAAATTCCTGTTCCTGCTCTAAATGCTGCTCCAATTCAGCTTTCTCATGCTGCAGCTAAAAAATTGGGAGACATGGAACTATTTTAAACACATAAAAGTATGAAACATTACACAACTTTTATATATTTACACATTTATTCTTACTGCACATTAAATTCTCTACTGATAATTCCTCTTAAAAGACTTCAAAATGCACAACCTACCCAACACCCCTTCGAAAACTAGTATTTTAAACTGTGTTCTATTTTCAATGCAGATGGAAGTGAACTACATTTCCAAATATTTAATAGAGTCAAATGAAAATGGATACATTATATATAGCATACACAATATTGAAATTTCAAAAGTAAAAAATCTATCATATCATTCATGGAAGCATTAATTTTAACCTACATGCATCATCTCAAGAGCCCCCAAAAGCACAAAATGCAGGTCTTAGCACTTCCTTCTCCCAGGCAGCTGAAAGCTTAAAATGATAGAATCAACTAGGCTGGAAAAGACCGTTAAGATCTTCAAGTCCAACATTTACTCCAGCACTGCCAAATCCACCACTAAACCATGTCACTAGAGGCCTCATCTACACATTTTTTTGAACACTTCCAGGGGTGGTGATTCTACCATGTACAGCAGACAGCACACGGATTACCACCTAGCTCAAGGTATTTGCTGCACTTTCCTTAATCTTCATTTTCCTTCATTAAAAAAGCTAGATTTTTTTTTTAAATTATTGCCTAGCTAAAAATTGAGACCAAAGCCAGTTGTTGTAATCAGCTTATATTTAATTAGCAAATTAAGCTGTGCGAAAAGGCACATAGCCAGAATCTCTCACTCAGCCTAAAGCCAGATGCTGCTGACAGAAAGCATGGTTGGGAACTGCCAGCATTTGCAGGCAGTCCAGTAAGTCAGGCAAATCGTACAGTCCTGCGAAGACATCTCAAACCAACTTAACAACAAATACAGTTTCTTGCTCTTGTGTGCTTCATGCAAATGCAACTACCATATTACTTAAAAAAAACTGAGCTGCAAGAGCACAATCTTGCTTGTCAAATCATTCCTTTTAAAAATTGCCAGAATTTCCATCACACAGGAAGCGATGAGGCTGATCTGCAGCTGCTGTGTAGGATCTACTAAACCTTGCCTCAGGAGTGTGAGCATACTTGCAGCCAAAAGACCATTCCAGCTGATCAGAAAGCTGCTAAGTGAAGCAAGGAGAAATCTAAGGAAACCCACAAACATTTTCCCCTTGAGTGATAAAAAGGGTTATAACATGAAAGCCCTCTTGGACATTCTAATGAACCCACTTTACTGTGCTACTCCCCTTCACCCTAGTATTTGGTTGATGAGAAACTCGACATGAGCAGGCAGCGGGCTCTTGCAGCCCCGAAAGCCAACTGTATCCTGGGCTGTATCAAAAGAAGCATGACCAGCAGGTCAAAGGAGGTGATCCTGCCCCTCTACTCTGCTCTCCTGAGACCTCACTTGGAGTATTGTGTCCAGTTCTGGTGTCCTCAGCATAAAAAGGACATGGAGCTGCTGGAGCAAGTCCAGAGGAGGGCCACAAGGATGATAAGAGGGCTGGAGCACCTCCTGTACGAAGACAGGCTGAGAAAGTTGGGGCTGTTCAGCCTGGAGAAGAGAAGGCTGCATGGAGACCTCATAGCAGCCTTCCAGTATCTGAAGGGGGCCTAAAAGGGTGCTGGGGAGGGACTCTTCATTAGGGACTCTAGTGGTAGGACAAGGGGTAATGGCTTCAAACTTGAACAGGGGAAGTTTAGATTAGATATAAGGAAGAAGTTCTTTACAGTGAGGGTTGTGAGGCACTGGAATAGGTTGCCCAAGGAAGTTGTGAATGCTCCAACCCTGGCGGTGTTCAAGGTCAGATTGGACAGAGCCTTGGGTGATGTGAGGTGTCCCTGCCCATGGCAGGGAGGTTGGAACTAGATGATCTTAAGGGCCTTTCCAACCCTAACTATTCTATAATTCTATGATTCAGAATGGAAGAAAAATACTAATAGCACATCCCAAAATACATATTAATGGTGTCTGTCACTCATAATTGAGTAAAATATTTTTTCTCTCTTATTTGCTTCAATCATAAAAACAAACCAAAACACAAGAAACCCAGTTAGTGCTGAAACCCTAACACTGAAAACCAGAATTGCTAACAACGAGGAAACATCCAGTGGTAAAATGCTGGTGGACAGTGTTTATTCTATGCTTCTGTAGTTTTACTTAGTGAGTATTTTGAAACTGTTTTTAATTATATGCCACTATAGCAACAACTGTTTACGGATACACTTACCGCTGCCAGCTAAAGACAAGGAAAAAGTGTGTTAGAATGTGTCACCTTGATGACAATGTCTTACAGACCTTGAATTGCCCATGAAAACTGCAGGAGAGATACTGCAGCTGCATAAGATCATAGATGGGTTAGGTGCAAGAGAGACAGCTAATACTTTAAAGTGAGAATGGGGCTATCAATCAAATACACAGCAGCACAAGGAATGCATGTGTTACTTCTGCTAAGTCCCAAAGAACTACATTAATGTCCTTCTGTCTCCACAGAAATAAGTTTCCTGATACAATGTAGGACCACATTTACCTTACTTCCTTACTGTACTGGCTTATTCTGGGACAGCAAAAAGATGTTTCATGAAATAACGGAAGTAACAGATGAAGTACCCCTTAAAAACACAACCCTCATTTATCCCCCAGACTATGACCTTGTACATTGTACTGAACATCCTATTTTTAGTACTCCAGCCCTCAAATGTTGTCCAATTCCTCCTTTGCTGCATCCTGAAAGTCCTATTTATTAATAAATTTGTATCAGCAGTTTGCCTCCTATTTATGTCCAGATGTTCATCAAATAAATGACAGAGGAGCTGACTCTCTTTATTCTGCACAATCACATTTGCATCCTTGAGCTGACGCATCATATTTTGGATATCAGGAAGGGTAATAGCTTATGTTTACACACTTAAAATTTTTGCAAGAATTGTCGAGAATCAGACTTGCATGAGAAACAGCTTTGTATAGCCTCCCAATTACTTAATCTGCCTGACTACACATTATGTTATTATCTTGGTATGTCGAAACATTTTGCTTTAAAGGACAGAGACTTCAACCAATTTGCACTTCCAAAAATGTAAGGGTATTGAAAAATATCTGTATTTGATTTTGAAAAGGAATGATGCAGAATTTAAGGAATAATTGTCTCTAAGTTCAAACAATATTAAAATTTAATTACCCCTTTGAGCAGCCTTGTTTCACAAAAGATAACATTTTCAAGATATACTACTTCAAATTTCAAAACAGTATCTCAACAAGTCCTTGTCCACAGCTGCAAGAACAGAGCCTGCACCAAAGCACTTCTAATGACACTCTGCAAAATATTATTACCATTCTGTAATGACTAGGGATAGAGGACTCTCAAAATATTGTTCCAAACTTGTCAGAGACTTCATCAGGTAGGCAAAAATATCATGAGAGAAAGCAGATGGGAAAATATAGTGAATGGATATAAGGCCTGTAAGAACTTTTTATGGAATGTATATGATAAATCTTCTGTCTACTCCAAAAGCCTCCGCTGAGATGCATGTGCTCCTTCCTCTCTGCATCATTCAGCCTAGCAAGTTAAAAAATTATGCTAAACAAAGGAAATTTAATTAGTAAAAGCATAAATTTATTGTAGAGGCAGTACAAGGTAATGCCACACAGTTATAAACAGGTATTACCAAGTAATGCAATGGCACCAGAAAGCCTGGCAGAAGGAAGGTAGTATTATCCCAGTGAAAACATCTTCTTCTATGTGCTACTGTGTATGTTTAGAATCAAACCAGCACACAGGAAAATGTTTCAAAATTAATTTTACAATACTGAAAACCTGATGTAACTGTGTTTTATAATAGCAATGCACATCATGGTGAACTGGAAAATTCTTGTTATGCTGTTAATGAGAAGTGTGGCAGCTCATGGTCTGGCAGACGGCTTTCACATTTAAAACATTTTAACATCCTGGGAGGTCATTCCAGATGCCACTCAATGCGATGCACAAACCCCTACAATTGTGACAAAGGTTTGACAAAGTAAGAAACACACAGGCACTATGAAAAAGGTCCCTCTGCTAGGTGGCTTTCAACTGAATAATATGGCAGTAATTTTGACACAGCCACAGACTAGTAAGTATTTGAAAAATTAAGAGAATATAAATCATATGCAGTTTACCAGAAGTATATCCCTCCCTCTGTTCCAAAAGGCAAAGCCTCAGACAAAACAAATTCATATGCATTTTTTTCCCCTCAGTCATAAAAAAAAAGCAGGAAGTCATGATGCACGATATCTGACAGCATGAATTTTGCAAGTCTAGTTTCAGGTCAGACCAATGTTGCCTGGCAAACACAGAGATTAAGAGTTTAACTCCAAATAGCAAAGAACACTTCCACTGGGGATACTGTATTTCTGGTTTTGTCATCATCCAATGTCTGCATCCATTTTAGCTAGAATTCTCTCCAGAGCCAAGATACCAAAAATGGAAGTGGGCATTTATCAATTTGTTATTAGTCTTATAACTGCTTCATCAGACTTACATCCTCTAATAAAGACAGAATTGCTACATTCTAGTAGCTGAAGTATTGGCACACTCAAATCTCAGGAAAAAATAAATAAATTGTAATTATTTTAACTTTCTATGTCTGAAAAACATTAGTCAGGAATTTAGCACTACACCTGTGTAAGTGGAAGAGTATTCCAAACTAGGAAAGATATCATAATAAATACCCAGTCGACCATGTGATGTGTGCTAATAATGAGATTATTTGTAGCATCAGAAGTTTCTCTTCTTAGACTTTTTATTTGGCAGTCAACATGGATATAATTTCCAGAATTCGTAATTGAAAAAAAATCAAAATTTCCAAACAGATAAGCTTTCTGAAAACAAAAATCCATGTCAATATTATTTTCAGATCTATGCTACTTCAGAAAATTGTCTGAAACTCATCAATATTCTAATATCAACTTGTTAAATCCATGATCACTATAGAGATAGAAAATTATTTTTGTGGAAACATACTCTAATATTCAAATGTTTCCTAATTCTACAGGTAAGCTCTTCAGGGGAAAGGACCATTTCACTTGTATAATTTGAAAGCTGATAAGCATGTTGCTAGTGTTTAGAAGAATATATTTATACACATTTTTTGAACTTCACAGCAAGTTTATCACATCAAAGACATAATCAAGCCGTGAAATGAGATCTACATTCAGCATACACACAAACAGAATATTAGTTTTAATATTAAACTGTTTGCTTTAGAACAAACAAACAAGTCCTCCACCTGTACTGCAAGTCTAGAGCAAGGTTTGGAAAGTCATCCGGATGTACGGATTACAAAACCTGTTGAGCCAGCAGATTCCTTTGACACAGCTTAAATAATGCTTTGCACTAGAGCTTTGATATATCCCTTGTCATCCTTTCCTCTGTGCACTGCAGGTAACAGGTGAACCTGTAAGCAAGACAGTCCATGCTACTCACCCTCATATGTACAACCACTACCAGCATCAACAGGATTTTGACACCTGTTCTTTTCTTCAAGTAAGCTGTGGCAATATTTAGATAGAGGTCAAGCTCCAAATTTACTTCCAAAAACTGCTACCTAATGATGCTAAGAAAAACTCCACAGTTTTAGGACTAACAATTAGGAACACAGGTGCATTTAAGAATTGTCACCTTTTAAAACCTTCTGGTTGACATGACCACATTTATCAAACGCTAAATGAGACGTAAGTGGAAGGCCACGTGAAACGAAGTATAAGGCAGTAGGCTGAGATACTGTTTAATAACAGCAGGCAGTGGTCAGAATTCTACCTCCATATTATTATAGTTACAGCTATGTAGTTACTTTCAGCAGAAACTTGTAGCTTGCCTACTGAAAGCTGGATAATATTTACAGGACAACGTTGAATCCATAACTGAGGATCTTTTCCAGCTGACGTACAGGGGCGAGTAACTTCATCAGTTTTATGCCTGCATTCTGTTTCAGATTTATGTGCTTCTCCAACTATTTCTCTCACTAGCGAGAATTAAGTTACACCCTTTAAGAGTCTCCAACAGACAAACAGCAAAAAGCCCTTGCATTCATACATTATAACAAGGCAGCCCCTCGGCCATTTTGAGAACAGTAGATTGTTACTTTTTTTCCTTCGTTTGGGCCAATAATCAAAGGATACTTTCTCAAAGTCCATAGCAGAAAAGAATAAAAATTAATTGTACTTTTAGGATGGCAAGAACTTATATTTATTCTTTGTAATGTATGAACCTATTTTGCATAATATTAGCAATTTAAGAACTATTAAAGATACAGCTTTAAAGCAATCTCAATCAAATTCTAGGAAAAAGGCTAAGCATATTTTGAGCAATTACTAGATATAGCAATTTAACTGCTGCAGAACTTGTCCAGAACAAATTTGTGTGCAAGGTCATTACGAGAGTTCAAAACTCTATGGCCAAACCAAGTGTAATTCATGCTTTTACTTTAAAAAAGTAAGCTTTACCTTGCTCTACACAATGTATAGAACAGTCCCAGGTAACTGGTTCTGTAACCAATTTCCGCTTTCCCTCTCAATTAACTTCGCCTTTCAATTAAACAATGCCTTCTTAGCTTTAGTCTTCAATGCCAAGGCCAGCCCTCAGGAATCCCTGACCCGGGAGACCAGGGAGAATGGAAGTCTTTCCCTGGGCTGAGGAAGATTGAGTCAGAGAACATTTAGACAAACTTGACATTCACAAGTCCATGGGCCCTGGTGGATGCATCAGTGCTGAGGGAACTGACAGACATCATTGCTAGGCTACCCCTGATAATCTGTGAAAGGTCATGGCAGTCAGGAGAGGCACCCGAGGACTGGAAGAAGGCAAATGTCACCCCAGTTTTCAAACAGGCCAAGGAGGATGACCCTTGTGAACTACAGGCCAGTCAAGCCTCACCTCAACTCTGTGAGCCAGACTCTTCTTGGTGGTGCCAGGCAATGGGACAAGAGGCAATAGGCACAAGCTAAAATACAGGAAGTTCCACCTGAACATGGGGAAGAGCTTCTTCACTGTGAGGGTGACTGAGCATTCAAACAGGTTGCCCATAGAGGTTGTGGAATCTCCTTCCCTGGAGATACTCGAGATCCATCAGGATGCAAACCTGAGTAATGTGCTCTAGGTGACCCTGCTTGAGCACAGAGGTTGGCCTAGATGACCACCAGTGGTCCCTTCTAACTTCGACCATTCTGTGAACATCACTTAACACATAATTTCCCCCTTTACTGGAAGAGACTTTTGTGGGAAACTTTTTCTACAGCGATATTTACATCTTATTTCAATTAGAAAAGAACACTCATTGCCCCTATTTTACTACCATCTGCTTCTCTGCTTTTCATAAAAATGCATGACTTTGAAATCAAATGTATGTCTTATTCAGAAACATTCTTGTCAGTCCTCAATAATAGGAGGAGAAACAGTAATACTAGATAAGGATATTTTACCTTCATACTTAACTTACTATGTGATAATAAGCATCAGATAGACAAAGTCACATAAGTACCAGTTTTCAGTAACAAAAGCATTAGATAGGATTCGCTCTAATGTGGTTTACAAACAGTGTATTTCCTAACTGCAGGGCTAAACATGCCTCAAGACTCCAGCTGCAGAACATAACAAATGCTTACAACATACAAATTAGGTTCTTTCAAATTGACTAGTTTTTCATGACAAAGCTTGTAAGTAATGGCATGAAAAAAATGCCACAGTACATCACACCAACAATTTACCTTAGTACCCTATCTCCTAAGGGAGAGGCCAAAAGCAGTTATTTAGGCAACTCTATCACAACAGGGCAAGCATGTACAACACTTCCAACAAACACTTACCCACGTTCAAAACGTTAGCAACTTTGCTAATGAAAAGAAGTTTCTCTGCCACAAATTGTCCCAGGATCTTCAACTTTTTACTTTTAGCACGCAACTGCTGTGTTTTAATTCAAGAGAAGCAACTGTTTTGTTAAAAGTATGGATAAACTTACAGATAAAGTCTCCTTCAAGCATCACTGCACATTCTTGTACATAAAGTTCAGTATTTCAGGACTCCTGTTAAATATCAAATATTCCAGCAAAAAAAGTGTCTGTTTCAATAACATTTTAAATTAACCAGTAACTCTCTTCTGTAAGACAGTGAACACTTACTTTAAGCTACATCCACTTCTTTGCATCTCTGCACCAACTTTCAGTTTCTCAACACCATGAGTTTGCTCTTTAAACTTTAAAGCAACATATTAAAAAATGCTTACTCACTACACTTGTATGTTGCTTTTATTAAGCATCAGCTTTATGACAGCTACAGCCTGACCATATCACTCTGACTGCAGTCACACTAACAAAAGAGTTCAGTCACCAGTTGGTCCTGAGTTTCCTGCAAGAAACATCAGGAAAGGCACCACTTACCTGCATCAGTTTTCTTGAGAGCTCATTAGTGAGAAATTCCTCTTCCTTTTCATAGTTTACTGCAAGTGTTTCTTTTTCTTTCTGCAGAGCTTGAATCTTCTTAAATAGAGTGTTACTGATGAATTCCTCTTCTTGCTCTGCCCTTGCTTGCTGTGAGGTAAAGATACAGTTATAAGAAAAAAGGGAGCAAGTTTCCACATTAAAAGCTTCAATTATTGTAATCTTTAAAAGCCCTCCCTCCCCCCCCCCTTCCTATTTTTATTTTGCCCACAGTTCTGGAGAACAGTAGGCTGAATCTAAGTGCTGTTACCATCCATCCCCTTTTCTAACATAATAGCACCTTTCTTCCTTTTTTGTTCCCCATCTTTAAACTTGGGAAACTACAGTGGTGCTTTAAAGAAGCCTCTCCCCAACCAAATGCAAGAACTCCCCAACCTTCTAAGCTTTATAAAAGCATTACTGATTCTCAGGGACCTACTTTTACCTACTCTCTTCCTAAAAACACTCATTTCTAAATGCTCCATTATGAGCTGAAACACATCTCTGAGACTGCTGCCTTCAGCACTGTGCCTTCTTTCCAGATCCCTTAGGCTGCAGCCCTGCTTTCTAGGAGTCAAGTAACACATTTATTCTTTCACCCAGATATGCCTTGCTTCTGAGCTGCAGGCAGCATGGCTCTTTCATGAGCATTTCCGCCCATCAGACCAGGAAAACATACTATTTCTCAGAACAGTTAGTTCACTACATACAACATCAACTTTAAGAAATGCCACGTGGTAGCTTTACCCTGAGGATTTCGAAGTTTCACAAGAGGGGAACTACTCTGGAAATCTTCCCCAGGAAGAATCACTAGAGAAGACAATTTCCATTTCAGCTCTCCTCTAGCACCCAGGCACTGCTCCACAGAAAGCCAGCCTATAAGCTCGCTCCCTTGCATTCCCTACAGTTGTTTGCATGGGGTTTTTTTAATGTACATATGAGAAACTTGATAAATGGACCACAGAAGTTATCCTTTGGGATTCTGCCTCTAAAAGGCCACAGAGGGTATTTCATAAGGGCAAACAAAAGATCACAGCGACAAATTGACAGAGACAACTCTTAATTCCACAGTCCAAACAGAGCCCAGAACAACAGAATGACAGAAACTCCAAATTCCAAAGCCACCACAAATGAGACAATGTAATGTTGAGGAGTGTTTTCATCCCCTGCAATAAAATCTGCACCACCTGAACTGCAGATTTGTGATTTGCCCTGATTCTAGTAAAAAGACACAAGTTTATAGCTTACAATATGTAAAGATTATTAAGTTTTATTTCAGTAAAATTTGGTAAGAAGAAAATTTAAGAACTGAAACAGAAGCATAACTAGAGTTTTACTAAAAGCTTAGCTTCCATAATCTTCTGCCCAAATGTGCCAAAACCTCCCATCTCTTTATACATACTGTACACTGGAAAATACTCAAAAGATTTCATTATGTCACTGATCTTTTAACTGAAAGATATATTCCCTGGTAATCCAAGAGACAATTAAACAGAGACACCTTCCACATTTACAACAAAAACTACTTAAAGAATATAAATGTCTTTAAATTTGGTGGAACAATAGGACAACTGTAAATCTTCCTCATGATATCACCAGCATCATAAAATCTAAAACAGTGATTTGGAAACTTCCCAGTTGAGTCCTCCTTCCATCAAGTCCTTCTCTTTGTATTTTTATCTCTGCCTTCTTGTATCTTCTCCCATCTCTACTGGTTTATTTTCTTGGCTTACTATCTACCTGCCACCAACTCCCTTCTCCCGTCACCAGCTGGGAAGAGAGAAGAATCAAGTGCATTTTATCATTTTAGGACCTTAGGTCTTGCACAGAAAACACCTGTCTAATGTTTGTGCATCTCAACAGCAGAGAACTGCTACTCCAGCACATTAAGCATTAGTATTATTACTTGTCACATCAAGGCAATGTAAAGTTGTCCAACAGCTCTGAAAAAATGCTAAACTGTCAGCTCACATCTCAGAGGACTAAAAGCCAAGGAATCTAACATGTCAATAACATCATCTATCACTTTCTAAATGTGGCTTTACTTAGAGCTACTAACAACCCTTTGTCTTCAAAGACATTTCAGAACAGAGTAAACAAGTCAAATTGCAAAGGTTCATTGTCCTCAAATCGTTAAAATTCATGCATGCTGTTCCAAAACCAACTCCTCCATTGCCTTCACTACACAGAATTTCTACTGCTGTCTGCTTTTCAATGGTTCAGGCAACAAGGGACCGTGACACAGACCAAGCTTACCCAAAATTAAATTAGAAAGCACTTGGTGTAAGAACAGAAAAGAATCAGGGTGTTTCTACTTTGATCTCTGTTCATCTCCAACTTGCACAGATTTGTTCTGCTCATGCTTTGTACCAATCAAAACCTCTAAAATCACATTATTACAGCACCAAGCCTGCACAACACCTCATAGCCAGATCCTGGTGTGACATTAACGATGGATATTTAGGCCAATGTGAACACAGGCTGCCAAGATCCCAGCCCACTCCTAGCCGAACAGCAATGCCCCTCCTCTGTGCTTGCATAGGTGCTCATGCAGCCAGGCAACAGGCCAGCACAGGCAGGAGACACCCAAAAACTAATAATCCTTTCCCTTCCTCCTCATATTTTTCTTTCCTGGATCTGCTTCCTTAACTGGCATACAGAGGCAGAGTGCTGGCACACAGAAACTAAGAATGAACAGCCACAACTTAGACCTGCTTAAACTGCTCCGCAACAGCCCCTCTGCCTACACCATGCAGGACACCGTCTTGCATGCAACTGGCTCAAAGGAAAAGCTGAGTATGATTACATCTGCCTCCATTATACAAAGAATGTATTTCTCAACTGAACAAAAAGAAGAAACCATATAAATTTAAGTATGAACTGTAAGTTCCAGACATCCACACACGACATTTAATACAATGAATTTCCACTTAAATTACCCAACGGTCAGCAAAATTTCAACACAAACTTTTTAGTCAAAAGTCATCATACAATTATTTAGACTGGGTACAAAAACCACATGTTGCATTACCATATTAATTCTAAATCCACGTGTTTTCTTTCTCAAACTTTCCTTCCATCTTGTTACTCATTACTTGGAGATAGTTCAATTATCTTAAGTAAGAAAATACTTCACATTTACCTTAATATTGCCTAAAATCTTGAAATCTGTTAACTCAGCCCATAATCAAACTGATATTGTAAAACAGTCATTAAAAAATTCCCAGTTTTTAATACTATTTCCTGCACAGGCTCTGCCACTCCAATATTTTTCTGGATGTGTATACACTGTATTTCTATATGGATAATCTGCCTTTTTATTAAGCATCTGCATTTGAAAAGAGGCTCTGATATGATCAGCAAAAAAAGAGAAACAGACCATGGAAACCAGAGACAGTAGGTCTTCTATGAGGGTATAGAGTTCTTGTTTTGTCTCTATTATCCATATCACATTCAACATCCAAAACCATTAATGGCAATTCACTCTGTTCTGTGTACCGTATTACAAAATAAATTGCTAAGGTTCTGAGTGATATAAAACGATAGCACCTGATCAGTCTATCTCTGGAAATCTGAAGCAAGCAATCTACTTCCACCACAGTTTTTCTGCGTAACCACAGACAAGGTCCACCTGCCTCCTGTGTCTCAAAACCGCTCGCATAGCTAACTAAGAGCATTTCATGAACATATCCACTAAGGAAAACCTGTAATTATTGTGGACAAGACCAAAAATGGCAAAGACTTTGCAAGAAATCAAGAATGAAGAAGAGGGGGGGGGGGGGGGGAGGAAAGCAACTCATGCACGTAAGACACACAAAACCTATTTTCTAAGAAGAAAAATTCTATTACTTCTAATGTGAAATCCTGATCACCAGCAGAGCTGATGCACGAAGTGGTGTAAAAACCTGTCCTTGTGATCTTACAATCCAATGAGCTATTTTTAAAAGAATTAAGAAACATATTTCTCCTAAACTTTATACAGTAACTGAGTGTCATGTTAGGAGTTGAATATAATCCAACGTTATTTTTCCACATGCTGCATATACTAGCATAAACTGTGAAAAGTTTAGTGTTAAAATCTTTTCCTGCTCTCAGTTCTTCTTTCTGTAAATATACGTTTACCAGACCAAGTTCACACTACTACCTCTCCTTATGCCCTCTTGTTGCTAGTACGTGCAGCAGCTTCTGCTTATGGCGGGATGCTTTCATTCAGTGTCACTAACCACACTGCACTAGTGGCACTATTTTATGAAACAGCAAAATCCAGTATTTCCAATGAGGCATCAGCTTAATCACAGTAAACAAAAACAACCAACCAACCAAAAACCCTCAAAAACCAAACCCACAACACCACAGCTCTCTATGCTCCCTTCCCTCCTCCTCCCCCCCTCAGTTAGTTCTTCTAGAAGCTTCACAAACCTTCCTGATACTGCACAGTAAGCAGGTTCAAGTCACAATTAATACCTACTCCTTAGTATGAGTACATTATCAGTGATCTGACATGAACAAGTTCTTGCATTTCAGTTTTCTCACTACAGACACAATTTCAGTAACAACTGTTTCACGAACTGCTCCAGTCACCTACACTTGACCACCTGAAAGCCAGATACCAAGCATGCCTGCTTTGCATGGTAACAAGGCATCACCTGTCTCCAGTAGCATCCACAGTAGATACGACACCAGATTTCAGGGGGATCTTGTTGGAAACAGCCTCTCAAGTACTGTTTGATCTAATTCACTCTTGAAGCTCTCTCATGTTTACAGCAAGAGCCACCACAACCTCTTCACCATTCATCTACCTTTTTATGGTGCGTTTTCTGCTGACAGGAACCTACAGACAATATAAGCCTGAAGATGGAGCTGAAGAGCAGTTTAATCTAGTTGCTGTACACAGAAACTCAATCTTAGCTACTGAATATAGACTGAAAGGTTGGGGCAGCTTTGGAAAGAGATGATCTCAGTTGCTGCACATGTTATACTCAACTAAAGCTGTCACTTCAGAAAGCAGCCTTTCCAAAAGTCTTGCTAAAAAACCAATGAGGTAAAAAGGGCATGAAGTGCAGAAAGTTACAACTACATGATTTTAGAACATGCACTTCTTGCATAAAATA